TGATGTTTTGTGACAGACAAAAGCAGAATCTGAATATTGAATTTTTCTGATTCACAGATAAGCCACAGAAAGCAAGCATCCCAGCCAAGCAGGAAGAAATCTGTGACTCGAAGTATTGCTGTTGTGAAGACTGTGCTATTAAAAAGTAACATTTATTTCTTACAAGGGAAGCTTTTAGACTCTCTCGTCCCTTTTCCTTTTGGAGCAAATCCCATTTTTCCCGTTCATGCTACTTGTGTAAGAAACAGTAGCCTGCCTGCTCTGGATGTTCAGAACCTGACATCAGCCCCTCCCTCAGCATCTGCTGAAGCCCACAAACATGCACAGTGAATGAGCTGCAGCATAACAGCAGCCAGCTGCTACTCAAAATCCTCCCTTTGCACATCTCCCCATTCTCATCCTCCTCCCCAGGCTCACAGATCCACACTTGAGGAAGCACTGCACCACTCCAGCACTCAGAGGAAGAGCCACGCCAGCCAGGAAGGAAGGAAGAAAGCACAGGGCACCAGAACATCACCTATCACCTGCTGGGTGATGTCATCCAGCACAAGTGGAAGAGATTTCTGACCCTCTGCGAGGAAGCCAAAACAATTTCTCCTTACATGGGAAGTTTGAGGAGAGAAATCTTCCCTAAAAGAAATGGTCTGAAAAGGCAGGGCATAGCATTAATCATTACTGCATTAAGGAAACAGCAGACTTACATAGCCAAGATATTTCATATGACATCTGAAATATGCAGCAGAATAGCACCAAACAACTGGATTATGGAACAATGTTAATAGTACAGCAGCATTTTTGCCACACTATCATTTAACATTCCAAGACATCATAGTAAAGTCACACTTGAGCCTACAGAAGCAAGAAGCAAGAGAGGGGATACCAAAAACCTCCCATAAAAACAAGGCAAAAAATAAAATTGCAATACAGCAAAAAAACATAGCTGTAAGCAATTTTAATGCTTAAGTTCTGAACCTAAGACTTCAGGACCTAACAGGCTGCAGGGTGCTGATGGGAAGGGTAAAGGAAGAGCCTCTCCCAAGGAGAACAGAGAGCTTGGGTTGTCCAGCTTTGCAAAACAAAAATTGAGAGTTTGTCCTTAGATGCATCAAACATGTAAACACCAAAGCCAAAACCAAACCTTTGAAACAAAAGCACAAAGGAAAAAGCGGACATAAAGAGGGACTATGGGCAAAAGATTCCTGAGAAGCAAAGGAATCCCATAGGTATTCCCATAGGAGTAATGGAAAATAACAGACTACGCAAGTTTTAAGGAAGTCTTCAATAATTTATGAATTACATTATCAGTGAGAGCTGCTTGTGACAGGGAAGACTCCTCCATGAGCCTGAAGTCCTATGTCCAGTTAAGTTGTGTGGTTTTGTAGCACTGGACGTGCCTGCTGGAGATGCTTTAACCTGTTTTGTTTCATTCAGACTCACACATCATTTGAAAATTACACCATAACAAGTTTGAATCATTGTCTGTGTCTTTTTCAGTTATTTAGCCTTTATGATAACTCAGGAACTACTGAAGTCTTCCAGGGTCTCTTAATCTAAGCAAACAACCTGATCACCAAATGCTCCAACTTTCCATCAGTCTTGGCATGTTTCCTGTCTGAAGTATGCAAAGCAAACAAAATTGAACAGTTTTAGCCCATTCTCCTCAGGAAAAGGAAGTTTCTGCTACCACAGTTTGTCTTCCTACATCCTGCTCCTAACTGCCTGTCAATCATTTGGCCAATCTGCTGGAACTCTAGAGAAGGAAGGACGCTAAACCCAAAAAAGTTGCAGGAAACCAGAGGAGGGATGAGCTCATTTCTCATCAAGCCCGCAGAAGCAGACAACGCACCAAAATGCTTTCATGCGCTAACTCTCCAGCTGCAATTTGACCTCTTAAAAGAAATTCCCTGAGTTTGGCTAGCAGAGGGAGAGCTTGGGAGATAGCTCAAGGTTTCCTGCTGCATGATCCAAAAGGGAGATAGTAACTGCACCATAACAGATGGAATAACACAGCCTGCATGAAAAACACCCCTCTCTAGACTGAATCTGCACAGTTCCATTGTAAGGCATAGTTTAAAAACATGTATCCACTTCAGAAGCATAGAAGAGCAGTTAGCGAATTTTCTTTAGAGAAATAATGAATATACATCTTTATCTTCTCTATTCCCCAGAATGAGACAAAGCCAGTCATTTTCCACCTCAGAGCTGTTTATATGCAGTAATTTTAAGAACATTTCCTAATAATTTCCCTCACTAAAGAGAACGGCAAAATCAACATCCCTCCTCCAGCAGCCTTATATTTTGATCTTACCTATTGAAATAGAAAAAATAAACGCAAAACAAATCTCGGCACAAAGGGAAAAAACAGGAAACTCTTTAGTGAGTAGCGCTGAAGCAAATAGAAAGGTTTTGGCAGGAACAGCAGAAGCCGTATCTGGTTTGCATTCACATCACTCCAAGCATGAAAAGACAGAATCCCTCACAAAACGCCTATCGGAACCCGCAGAGAAGCAGAAGCCTATAAATTTTACTCCAGAGGAACAACTCAATACAGCCGCAGATAAGACATCCTCTCCCTACAGCCCAAGGCAAACACGACTTCCACCACCCATCTCCTCCAGAACTCAGCCCCCACCTCCCCATCCCCTCTGTTCCCTGCGTGGAAGGGAGGGAGAGACCTGGAAGCTCTGGCGCTGGCGCACATCCTGCAGACTGCTCCAGCCCGAGCCCGCAGGCCCCGCGTCGCCGCATCGGCCTGGGCCGGC